CTCCTCCGGGGGGGCCGGGGCCCAAGGGGCCCCCCAAAAACAGGTGCCCCCGAATAAAAAGAACGGCTCGACGGATTTTCAAAAAAAAGCTTTGGGGTGCGGAACAAAAAATCTTTCTTTTTAAAATTTTTCAAAAAATCGGTCCATCGGAACGAAAGTTATTAAAAAACAGAATTCTCAAGGTAAAACCCGAACCTTCGAAAATTCGAAAAAAATAATTTTACCTGTTTTTTTCAAAAAACTTTACGTACTTTTGCGAGGAATCGAAAATCTCCCTTTTATTGGGGAAATTTTTTTCGAGGAACGGCGTTTTTTAAAAAGTTATTAGAGAAAAATGAGTTTTTCCGAGGAAAGATTTTCAACTTTTTCCTTTATAAAAAATAAATTGTCGACGGATTTTTTAAAGTGACGACTCGTAACGTGCGCTTTTAAATAGAGCTTTCGTTTTCTTGAAAGTTTTTTCTGAATAAGTGAATAAACACAAAAGTTATTCCAAATAAAGTTTTTCCCAAGTTGGGATTCGTTTAGAAAATTCAAAAAAAAAAAATTCCCTGTTTTTTTCCCGAAAAAGTCACGTCATTTTAGGAATCGAGAGACCCTTTCGGTGGGTTTTTGGAGGAACAGTGTTTTTTCAAAAGTTATTCGAAAAATGAGCTTTTCCGGGAAAAAATCGCGTTTCCCCGAATAAAAAAATTTTACGGTCGGATTTTTATAAATGACCATCATAAGGGCGTAATCGAAAGGGCTTTCAATGTCTTCAAAGGTTTCTAAATAACTTAATATGGGAGTTTTTCCCAAAAAAGTTTTTCCCAAAGGGGGGACTTTGAAAAATTTCGCCTCCCGGGTTGGGATATCTAAAAGTGGTGCGTGCGACTTTTCCCCGTCGACACTCGGAAACGGACCACTGTTTTGGGTAGGAGGGACACAAAAAATACCTGACTCATCTCGGTCCGGAGAGCATCGCTTTTTTAGGCTCGATCAAAGGGGCGGCACGCCCTTCCTACGGATTCCTTTTTTCCCCAAAACCCTCGGACGGAGGTATATTTTAATATTAAGTAAATAAAGAAAGGTCTCTTCGGTATTTAAGAATATATATTTTTTTAAGCGACCGTTTCGAACGGGACGAGAGAAACGAAAAACCAAAGATTAAGATTTGGGCATAAAAAAAAACCCGCTCGGAGGAATAAAAAAAAACAACGCCCCCCGAGAGGGGCTTCTTTTTAAAAAAAAAATTGTATTTTTAAGTCGATTTACAAAAAGTTACGGTAGGATAAAATTTCCCGAAAAAAGATCCCGCCTGACACCTGGCGGAGGAGAGCTACGAGTGAGATGTGTCCGATTTGGGAAACCCACAGCGCCCCAACTTACCGACCGATTCTTCGAAGTAGATACCCCCGCGTAGGTCTCGGCGTGCTCTTTCTTCCGAGCCCCCGTTCGCGATCCTGTTTTCCGGGAGAAAGCGATTAAGAAAAACCGAAAACGCAATATTGACTAATAAAAAAAACCCGCTCTGAGGATCATTAAATAAAAATATACTGGTGGCCCCGGTGGGCTTTTTAAAAAAATTGTATTTTTAAGTCCTGGGAGAAAAAGTTATAGCACGAAAAAGTTCTTAAAAAAAAGACTACCCTGACACCTAGCGGTGGCGAGTTTTGGCACAAAATTTTAAAATTCCACACCGCGCCAACTTACGGGCGATTCTTCAAAGGTATCCCTGATAGGCCCTGGCGTGCTCTTTTTTCAGTCCTCATTTTTGGGACATTGGAAAAAGGGGGCCACGTTGGGGGCCCTTTCAAAATAACTTTTTTTTTTTAAACGCTTTGTTTTTTATGGAAAAAATTCAAAATACACCTCGTTCGAAAGGTTCCGAGAGTACTTTGGGAAATGTGGGAGTCCCCTTCGTTTTAAGAAAAGAAGAGTTCGAATAATTTTTTTTCTCGTTTTTTTAAAAATTCATTTTTCCCCATTTATTTCATAGATAGAATCGAACGAATACCCATCGGAAAGGGTCTTTCCGGGGGTTTTTCAGAATATATTCGTTCCGAGAACTTGTCTTTTAAGAAAAAAAATAAAAAAAACGCGAAAACAAAACATTTAAAAAAAAAGAACCGTTTGGGAGGATTATTAAATAAAATATACAAAACGTGCCCCCCGAGATGGGTTTTTTTTAAAAAAATTGTATTTTTAACTCCGTAGGGAAAAAGTACAGAGGATAAATTTCCCGGGAAGAGAAAGATCCCCCGACCCCTAGCGGTGGCGAGTTCTTGGCAGAAAACTTTAAAATACCCCCCCTCGAAAATTTTTCCCGAGCGATTTTCGAAACGGATACCCCCGCGTGGTCCGGGATTTTTTTTTCGAGTCCTCATTCTGAACGGGCCCCAAAGGGGGGGCCACGTTAGGCCCTTTTCCCATAATCACTTTTAAAATCTGTAAATCCCCTATTTTAGAGAAAAAAATTAAATAAAATACCCATTCAAAAGGTTTTTCCCCAGTACTGGAATATATTCATTCCACGTTTTTTGCTTTCGGGAGGAAAAAATCAGAAAAACCGAAAATTAGCATTTCCGTCCAAAAAAAAAAGAACCCCCTGGGGAATTTTTAAATAAAATACCCCGCGTGCACCCCGCGAGGGGCCCTTTCTTTAAAAAAATTGTAGTTCACCGCGGGAAAAGTTACGGCGGCAAAAAGTTCCGTAAAAAAAAAAAGAACCCTACGCCTGGCGGGGGGAAGCCCCCGGGGTCACATATAAATTCGATCGATCGAACAGTAAATCTTATAAAATTTTTTAATTAGGCGTAAAAAAAAATCTTAAAACTTACTTTTTAAAATTGAAGTGAGGTAGGGTCCGTGCCACCGCGAGTCGGACCCAAAAAAAGAAAACGATACTCGGAAACGACCGTTCGACCACACCGGAAGTACACCGGAACGAAAATAAAAAAAGGGGGGGCATTTTACAGCCATGACTCGCCGACGGTATTGGCCGTACACTGCCCCCAACGGCACCTCTCGATCCCGACCTGCCCCGTCAAAGTCCCGTACGACTGTCCCCGCCCGGGTTTCCCCGTCGTCCGACGGCACCCCCACCCAGACCGAATCCATAAGTCAGTACACCGGAACGAGAAAATAAAAAAAAAAAGGGGGTATACACCCAAAACTGCCGACGAGTATTGGCCGTATCCCCCCCAGACTTCACATCTCGATCCCGACGGCCCACCCTCATCCGTGAAAGTACAACGGTCGCCTCCCGTCCAACTCGTACCCGACAGGTTCCCGTCCGACGGCGCCCCCCGCCTACCGAATCTATAAGTCAGTACCCCGGGAACGAGAAAAAATTAAGCCAATACCCCCGGCCCCAAACGCCGGCGAGTATTAATATACCCCCCATCCGGTCCAAACCCCAAACCCGTCCAATCCCCCCCCGGTCCGGGTCCGATCCTCCCGAGTTCCAATCTTCCCGTCGATCCAATTCCAACTCTATCCAACTTCAACTCGCTCTCATCTCGGTAAAGTCCCACGGTCTCCGGTTCCAATTCCCGTCGGTCCAATGGTCCGTCAAAGCCACCACGGTTCCCTCCCGTCCAACTCGTACCGCAGCCTCTCGGTCCACTCGTCGTCTTCATGGGAGTCCATTCGTTTTCCCCTAGAGCCCACTTCCTTCGAGGTCCCCATTCCGCAAAGGCCCCCGTCCAACTCGTACCGCCGTCTCTCGGTCCAATCTTCCCGTCGATCCATTCTTCTCGTCGGTCCAGTTCCATTCCAAGTCCCAACCCCAAGCGGTCCACTTCGTACCAAGGCCCCACGGTCTGCGGTCCCAATTCCCGTCGGTCCAATCTTCTCCTCGGTCCAATTCTCCAAGTCCTCTCGGTCCACTTCTTATCCCCAAGTCGCCCTTTTCCGTATCAAGGCCCCACGGCCCGGGCCCAAACCCCGCAGCCCAATTCTTCCCCTTCTCCCCAAAGTCCCACGATCGCCTCCCGTCCAACTCGTACCGCTGTCTATCGGTCCAATCTTCCCGTCGATCCAATGTCCACTTCTCGCACCAAGGTCCCAAACCCGTGGCCACCCCAACTCGCCCATCCAAGTCCTCATCCAGGACCGCCCCCCGGCCCGGAACTCGCCCCCCCACCCCGGCGGAGTGCGGGGGTCATTCCCGCCCACCCGGGCCGACCCCTTTCGGCCCATTTTCCGTCGGTCCAATAAAAGCTCGGTCGAGCCCAACCCCCCATCGACCGAGTCCAATTCCCCCGGTCCAACCCGCTCGCCCCCAATCCTCCTCGGTCCAACCCCACCCGCCCCAACCCCTCGCCCGGCCTCGTCCCGACCGTCCCCCTCGGCCCGGGACCTCGCACTCCCCATGCCGCGGGCCAGGTCGACTCCGCCCCCGGGCCGACGCCTCCGGTCCGATCTCCGTCGGTCCAATAAAATCTCGGTCGACCAACTGCGACCAAGTCCGACCCGGACCGTCCCCCCTCGGTCCGTCGGCCCTCGTCCCGACCGTCGCCCTCGGCTCGCCCCGACCGTCGCTTGGCCCCTCCCGGCCCGTCGCTCGGTCCGGACCTCGCCTCCTCATCCCGTGGGAGCCCCGGTCGACCCCCGCCCCCCCGGGACCTGGGCCCCGAACCTGCGGACCCTTCCTTCCCGCCGGTCAGGCACCCCCCCGCCGCCAGCGGACCGACCCCCGAAGAACATCGGTCCGCCGTTTCCACCTCCGGGGAGGCCCGGGGGCCCCCCGAGTCTCCGGACGGAGGGAGTCTCAGTAGATCGCACTGGGGGGTCTCGCTACTACGACACCCCCTCCAGATGGAACGTCGTCTGCACGATCTGCGCCCCACACCCACACCCGCCCGGAGGCAGGTTTTGGGAGGGCCCCCGAGTTTGGGGGAGCCCTTTAAATCTCGGAGTAGAATGGGGTTTCCGTCGGACCCGGGGTCCCCTTAAACAGGGGAAGAAAAACCCCATCGGACCCCATCGAAAAACCCTTCGAAGCGAGGGGACAATAGATTATCCCACCATCAGGGGAGGCTTCCGGGGAGGGGTTTAGCCGTTCTCCTACCGGATGGTAGCTTCGCACCGCGGCACCACCGGCGCAGTACCAAATGTCCCAACCTACGGTTCCCTCGTACTGGGCAAGTTTGACCGTAGCGACGACCCGTCTTCTGAGGGTCTAACCTGTCTCACGACTTAAACCCAGCTCACGTTCCCTGTTAGTGGGGGAACAATCCAACGCTTTGCGAATTCGCTTCCAATGATAAAACCGACATCGAAGAAACAATAAGCGAGTCGCTATGAACGCTTGGCCGCCAAAGCCAGTTATCCCCCCCGGTAACTTTTCCACACCTCTCCCCTGAGACTCTCACAGCGAAAAAAAGGGGGCGTGGGCCCCTGTTTCCAGGTCCCCCTTTCCGTGAAGAAGGAGCAAGCCGGCTTTTGCCCCCCTTTTCTCGAGGTTTTGTCCCGGCCCGGCGGGCCTTGGACACCTGGGCCATTTACGATGTTCCGCCCCAGACAAACCGCCGCCTGACACTGCTGGGGTTCCCCGCATCGCCCCAATTAGGGGACGCTTCAAAAAGATTGAAAAAAAATTTTTTCACTTGGAAAAAATTTGAACATCACCGAATGAGTCCCGGGGATCAAAGTAGTGGTATTTCCCTCTCCTCCCCCGGGGGGAGTTCCCACCAGACCCCAATAATGCCTTAGAACAAAGTCAGACTAGAGTCAAGCTCGAAAGGGTCTTCTTTTCCCCGATGAATTTTTCCCCCAAATCCGTTCCCTTGGCTGCGGTTTCCGGTAGTAGATAGGGACGTGGGAAACTCGTTAATCCATTCATGCGCGTCACTAATTAGATGACGAGGCGTTTGGCTACCTTAAGAAAATCATAGTTATTCCCCCCGTTTACCCGCGCTTGGTGAATTTTTCACTTTGACATTCAGAGCACTGGGCGAAATCACATTGCGTCAAAACCGCTCTCCGGCCGTCGCAATGCTTTGTTTTAATTAGACAGTCGGTTCCCCCGGGGCCGTGCCGCTTTTCGCCATGCTCGTCCTCCGGGCCCCCGAACCCTCCTAGAAGGGAGAAGGACCTTCCACCTCCACCCCCCCTGATACGGAGTCCGATTCGAGGACCGTCCCCCTCACGATAGGAGCTTCAGAAATAATTTGGAAGTCCCGAGACCGAGACACAAAAGCCAACCTTTTTTTCCGAGGTTAGGGGTCAACTTGCCACTTCCCTTTCCTTTCATTGTTCTAGAGACTAGAGGTGTTCACCTTGGGGACCTGCTGCGATATGGGTACGGGCCGGCGAAAAAACACCCCCTCTTTTTCAAGGGGGGCGGAGGCGCACCGGACAGGGGGGCGCGACCGTGCTCTTCGACGGCACTCCTTTTTTTCCCCCCGGGCGAGATTCGGGGAAAGCCGTCTTACGAAGAAAAGTCAACCTTTCCGGGTCCTCCGACGACGTCGCCGAGTTCGGTGGTTCCGCACACGACCCGAGGCCGAGATCTCCGTGTCCGGGTAAAGGAATATTAACCCTTTTCCCTTCGGTCTTTATCTTTCGCCCCAATTTAATGAAAGATTTAAATATACGCATTGGCGTAAGACCCCCGGACCGACCCCCCCATGTTCAACTGCTGTTCACAGAAAAACCCTTTTCCGTGCTTCAGTCTTCCAGGCTCACTGGGAAAATTTGCTACTACCACCAAGATCTCCCCCCCGGGGGCTCCCGTCCGACTCCCCCGTGACCTTCTACGCCCACCGACGCGACCCTCCTACTGGTGACCCCCAAAAACTGAATTAGGGCACCGGGCCGGGGGGGTACACGCTGGAGCGCCATCCCTTTTCAGGACCGGGTTTTTAGGCAGGTGAGTTGTTACACACCCCCGGGGGGGCCGACTTTGTGGCCACCGTCCCCTTTTTTCCTGCAACCGACACCTTTATGGGGGCTCTGAGCGTCCCGCATAGGGCGCCTTAGCCCGGGGTTCGGTTCATCCCGCAGCGCCAGTTCTGCTTTTCCCAAAAAAGGCCCACACGTCATCCCATCCGCACTTCGGTTTTCCGATCGGGAGAGAACCGATTTCACGTCCCTTCGTAGTTTGAGAAAGGTCGAGTGCACGGGGGTCCCCGAAGCCTCTAATCATTCTCTACGGGAACGAGACTGGCCATAAATGAGCGACAGCTATCCTGAGGGGAAAATTTCGAGGGAAAGCTACCAGGTGGTTCGATTGGTCTTCGCCCCTATACTGGGTCTGGCGATCGATTTGCACGTCAGAACCGCTTCGACCCTAGCCCAGTTTCCTGGCCTTCGTTTGCCCCGAGAAAAAAGTTCACCACCTATCGGGTCCTACCAGGTGCCCCCGCTCCTTCCTCCTTTGGGCTAGAAAAGGGGTCGCTGCGCCCGTCGACTATAAAGCCAAGGGGGGTCGCGATCTTCCTTTCGCTACGCCGTTGGGGTTATTTCCCCTTGACTCCCCCCAGTAAGACTCTGGTCCGTGTTTCAAGACGGGTCGGGTGGGGACCGACCTACTCGTCGCGGGGCGAGCCCCGGGAAAGCATCGAGAGACGCCCGGAAAACCCGGGAGCCGCACACGGAACCGCCAGCCACCCCTAAAAATGGCGCGTCCACGCCCACGACCGGCCCGAGACGGAACCGACGCCCCCGGGGGACGCTTCCCCCTCGAACGCGGGAGGGTTTCCATCGAAAAGGGGGAAATCGGGGGTACCCAAAAGGACCCCCGGATACGCCCCCCGACCGGGGTCGCCTCCGCCGGCCCATTCCCCCCTCCGGAGCGGAAATGCGTCGGCGGCACCACGAAACCCCCCCAGTCGAGGACTTGAGGCCCCCCCGTTTCCCCCCGAAATTTCCTTTTTTTGAACCCCTCTTCAAAATTCTTTTCAACTTTCCCCCACGGTACTTGTTTTACGGTCTCGCGGTCGTTTTGTTGGGGGGGCTCCTCCCCTCTTGGGGCAATCCCCGGGAACCCGACCCCCGGAGTCGTCCTTCCCATCCGGGGCGCGGAGGGCACGGGTCTTGCCCCCCACGGCAAAAGGCCCCTCGAGGGGACTTGCCTGCCCCCGGTTCGGGCGCGACGCCCCATACGCCAAGGGGCCCCATTTTTCGCGACGCGGGGGTTCGGCGCTGGGCTCTTCCCCCCTTTGCCCCGCCGCCACAATCACTGTGTTTTTTTTCCCCCGCTTACTGATATGCTTAAGTTCAGCGGGTTCTCTCGTCTGATCCGAGGTCGCTTTTCTCTTCGCCGTCCACCACTGGGGCGGACACTCCGCCTCTTCTCGACCCACGGGTACCGGGACCCGAAAGGCCGTCACGGGAATCGTCGGTCCCTAGGTTGGATGCGACCCCGGACGGCGACTCCACCCCCAAGGAAGGAGCCGTGTGCGTTCGAATAATCAGTGATCTGGTGTTCTGCAAATTTACACCAAATCCGCAGCTGGCTGCGTTCTTCACGACCCGCGAGCCCAGTGATCCACTGCTCGGAGCTGTCCGATGCGACAATTTAACACCCCCGCACGGGGCTTATCGTTTCAATATTAAGAAGGTCGGGGGGGTGCGCGACGGGCGTCTCTTCCGTGCCTCCTCAAAAAATCCCCTCCTGCCCTACGGGGCCGGGTCAAGGCACCCCCCCTTGCGTTCGATTTAAAATTTTTAATTTTTTTAAACTTCATTTTTATTCAAAAGATCCTTCCACAGGTTCACCTACGGAAACCTTTTTAACTTTTTCCCCCCTCCCAAAGGGCGTTCGGGGAAATTCCCCCCTAGTCCACCCCGACCCCCAAAAGGCCACGGATAAGGGTGAAACCCCCCCCGTTCAATCGGGGACAGCGCGGGCGGTGTGTACAAAGGGGAGTGACTTTGTCGGCACGAGTTAATGACCCCCGCCACTGGGAATTCCTCGTTGGAGGGGGAAATTTCAACCCCATCCCCCGCACTGAGAGGGACTGAAATTTTCCCCAACCCAAGGCCAAGGAAACCTCGGGGTGCCGCTCTATGTAGCGCACGGCCCCGGACATCTTAGGGCACAAGACCCCAATTCTTTTACGGCTTGAAGCCCCCGGTCCTTCTAAGAAGACTTGCAACCCCCATCGAACGGGGAGAGTCGTATTTAGCCAACGGGGAAACTCGTCGTTTATCGGAATCAACCAGCGGTCACCCCCCGAACCAACTGCGGCCATGCACCACCATCCACATATTCCCCCAAAAAGCTATCAATTTGTAATTCGTCCTAAAACGTCCGGGGCCCGGGGGGGTTTTCCCGTGTTGAGTCGAATTAAGCCGTACTCCACTCCTGGGAGTGCCCCCCCGTCAATTCCTTTAAATTTCAGCTTTGAACCATTTCCCGGAGCCTGAACTCAGGTTTCCCCGGGCGAGCTGCCCGGGGCGTCACAACCGGCCGCAGCCGGATCGCGGCTGGATCGTTTGGTCAGAACTACAAAGGTATCTAATCTTCTTTTAGCCTCTGACTTTCGTTCTTTGGGTTTAAGGGAAACATTCTTTGGGAAATCTTTGCAGTGGGTCGTCTTCCGACGGTCTTTCCCCCTCTAGCGTCGGAATACGAATGCCCCGTCTGCTCCTATTAATCATCACCTCGGTTCCGTCGTCCCCGGGACCCGATCCCAAGTCAGTTCCATCGTACCGTGCATTATATTCGAGTGGGACCCCCAAAACACTCTAATTTTTTCAAAGCGATAACCGCCGACCACCGGGGGCCCACCGGTGAAAACCGACCCCGAGTGGCGAGCAGAATGCCGGTGCGCATGGGGACCGCGCGAGCGGCCCCTACGTCCAGAGCAGACATCCAACTACGAGCTTTTTTAAATGCAAAATTTTGATACGCCACTGGAGCTAAAAAACCGCAGCGGCTGGCATTAGTCTTGCCCCCCAGTAGGTCCTCGTTAGAGGTTTAGAGCTACTCATTCCGCGACGGGTCTCGTAGGTCCCCGTCGTTATTTTCGTCACACCTCCCCCAGCCGGGATTGGGTAATTTTCGGGCCCGTGCCTTCCCTTTGAGGGTAGCCGTTTCTCGGCTCCCTCCGAATCGAACCCGATTCCCCGTCAGTGGGGCCACGGTAGGCGCATCACCTACCGTCGACAGTTTATGGCAGACAGAAGGATGCGTCGCCGGGTCGAGCCCGTGCGACGGGCCGCTCAGCTTCGTCACGTCCGCGGCCATCGCTGGCCTGGGAAGAATCTAATAAAAACGTCTTTCGCCCCGGAGGGGTCGGGGCTCGGCTGCATGTATTGCCTAGAATTGCCCAGTTTTCCAAAAAGCGTCACGATCCCAAAGAACCGTGACTGATTTAATGACCATTTGCGGTTTCCCCTTATATTTCGGGCATGTACGGCGTGCATTTAATCTTTGAGACAAGCATATGCTACTGGCAGGACAAACCCGGTATCCACCGTCCTCCACTCCCCGAGGGGGTTTCCCTTCTCTTTTCCCTTCCTCTTTATATATTAAACCGGGCCCCCTGGCCTTTGTGTCTCGACCCGAAGAGGGTCCTTTTTCGTCACTCGTCTGCCGCTTCCGGAAAAAAGAAAGGGGGGCCCAAAGGGAAAAAAGGCGCGAGACGGAACCCCCCGGAAAGGGCGTTCGCGGAGTGCCTAAATGGGTGGTATCCCGCCGAGCGGGGGGATCGCCCTCGGCCGTCCGTCCCGCCGGGGACGGACGGCCGTCGGGGAAGCACGATGAAAAAACGCTCCACGGGGCCCTCCGAGGAGGGGGGGGCCCCTGGGGCCGAAATTGGGGGTATCCCCCAGCGGGAGGACCGGAGCCGCCGACGACGACGTGAATTCTTTACGAGGGGGGTACGGGGCACCGCCGGGGACCGAAGGGGGAGCCCTTTTCGAAAACGAAGAAAGACCCCCAGCGGACCAACCCCCAGAGCGATCGCGGGCCGAGGGGGGGCCCGCCGGTACAACGCTTGAACGAGCGAACGAGCCTACGATGTAGTGATTTCATCGTCTCAAACGGCTCCCTTTTAGGGGAAAACGGTTTCCAGACAAAAAAGGGGCACCTCTTTCCTCCGACCGGGGCGGCACGGCGCAAGCGGGACCCCGTCGACCCAACTTTTGTGGACCGCGTTCCGGTGGACTAACGGACACCCGGGAAATGAAGAAAACCGGAACGAGACACGATCGGCGGGCCCCTACACCGGGGGGGTCGGTGCGCCGGAACGAAATACACCGGAACGAGATCCCCTCCGGGGTCCCGCACGCGCAACCGTTAGTACACCGGAACGACCGGAAGCCGGAAAAGGGGGCCCGGAGGGTTGCCGGGTTTTTCCCCCATTTTGAAAAGCCATCCCCTTCTCACCGTCCCACCGGGGCCCACGAGAACCACACCGTCGGAAAAATTTTTGATTTGCCGCCGCGCGGGATTTTTTTCTCGAAATAACCCATTTTTCCATTTTTTTCCGATTTTTCAAAAACACTCGAAATCGACCCCATTTTTGATAGACCGTTTCGAATCGTTCCCAACACCCGCATTTCCGACGACGGAATCCGTAGGGGGGCCCCGAACGGAGCGTGCCTTCACTTTAAAACGCCCTTTAAAACAAAAACGGCCGAAACTTTTTTTTTTACGATTTTTCAAAAAAACCCAAAATTTTCCCAACATTTAATAACCTGTTTGAAATAATCTGCCAAACTTTTTTTCCGTGCGTGGGACCGCGTGTCCGTACACCGTACGAAGTTTAAAAATTTGATCGGAATTTGAATTTTTTAAAAATTTTTCGTTTTTGCTTTTTTTGCCCCCAACTTGAACGGGCGCCCGGGTCCCCAAACGGGGCATATTCCGAAAAATCTCGTCGAGTCTTTAAGAATATGTATCGTTTCGGGTCCCTTTTTGAAGGGGCCCGTGGGATCGGGGGGAGCAAAACACGATTTTTCCAATTAAAATGATTTACGGTTGATCTTTATAAATACCACTCGTAATGTGCGAAATCGAGGGGCTTTTTTTCCCATCAAAAAGTTTCTAAATAACTTAAAAAAAAGAGTTATTCCAAATAAAGTGTTTCGAAATTTGGGACTTAGAAAAATTGACCTTTTACGGCATTTTGGGTCTGATAATTAAAGAACAAAAGGGGCCCATTCGGGAAACCCCGATTCGGAAGGTTTGTCGAGTAGATCAGAAAAAATATTTTTCGGGCCCCTGCCTCGAAGGGGACCCCCTGGACCGGGGGGGGCCCTTTATACGGGGTCCCGTATTTACGGGAATTCCGCACGAAAATTATATCACGGGTGCCCGTCCGGGGGAAACCCCTAGGAGTTTTAAACTCTGGGTCAGGGGCCCCCCCGGGCCCCCAAGCGTTTTCTCCGATTTTGGGGGGGCCCCGACTCACGCTATTCCCCCCCGAAAAAAACACATATTCGGAAAAGGGCTGTCGAGTACTTTCGAAATTATATTTGTTTGGGCCCCCCCTCCGGGGGGGCCCCCCCGGGCCCCCGGGGGCCAAAAAATAGGTTTTTCCCGTTGAAAAAGAACGGCTCGAGGATTTTCGAAAAAAAGAACTCTTCGGGTGCGGAACGACGGGTCTTTCTTTTCTTTAGAGTTTTTCGAAAAAACGGTGCACCGGAACGAAAGTTTCGAGAAAACATGTGTTTGGTAGGCCGCACTCCCGGGAAACCCTTTAAAAAATTTATAAAAAAAAACACCTGATTTTTCTAAAAAATATAGTACTTTTTCGAGGAATGAGAGTTCTACCTTTTGGTGGACATTTTGGGGGCAGGGGTTCTTTTTAAAGTTATTCGAGAAAATGACCTTTCCGGGAAAAAAAAATTTTTCCCCCTTTTCCCGAATAAAAAAAAATTTTGGGCGTTTTATCAATGACCACTCATAACGTGGCAATCGAAAGGGCTTTCTTTTTTCAAAGAGTTTCTAAATAACAATATAAAAAGGGGGTTATTCCAAATAAAGTGTTTCCAAAGTGGGGACTTTAAAAATTTCGCCTCCCCCCTACGCATTTTGATCGTCCATAATTAAAAAAACGGAAAGGGCCACCCTCTAAAACTTTGCAGATTGGAAAGGTCTGCGGGAGATCAAGAAAAATATATTGTTTTGGGCCCCTCCTCCAGGGGCCGCGGCCCGGGGGGCCAAAACTAGGTTTTTTCCCCAATAGAAAAAGAACGGGTCAGGGTTTTCAAGAAATATGACTCTTACGTGCGGAACGACGAGATCTTTTTTTTTCTTTAAAATTTTTAAAATCGGTCCATTGGGCAAAGTTATCGAAAAATATGATTCGAAGGCCGCACTTTCCGGGAAAGTTTGAAAAATTTATAAAAAAAAAAATTACCGGTCTATTTTTTAAAAAATTAACTTTTTCGAGGAATCGGGGATCATTTCGGTGGGGGCATTTTGAGGAACAGGGGTTCTTTTTAAAAAATTATTCGAGAAAATGACCTTTTTCCCGGGAAAAAATTTTTCCCGTTTTCCCGAATAAAAAAAAAATTTACGGTCGCATATTTACGAATGACCACTCGTAATGTGCGGAATCGAAAGGGCTTTCATTTTTTTTTAAAAGTTTCTAAAAAGTTAATAAAAGAGTTATTCCAAATAAAATGTTTCCAA